AGGAACTCAAGGACGAAGGCATCAGTGGTGGGTGTGATATGCAACAAGACCCTCTCCAATTTCATTCACCTGTATCATTTCAAGAGCTAAAATATTAATGATACTTAAGCATCCAATACATAATGCAAGTATATAGGTGCCCAGGTTTATCTTTCAACCCTCCAGGGTCTTTGGCAACTACCAGTACGAAGTACCATCACACCAGCTGCAGTGGACTCTTCTAACTCGGAGGTAACACAAAAGTAAGTACCGACACATCCACGTTGGGAGGTATACCGATAGATTATTCCGGGATAGTCAGGCCATTTACAAGGCAGCCTGCGAGCAATAAACTCTGGCATGCGTACCAGCCTGGCTATGCATCCCAGCTGTGGACATATGATCACCTCTTCCAGAAGGCACAAACTCACTGCCTTTGAACTGGAAAGATTTTTTTTCACACTTGTCCAGAAGCACTCTTGTGTTTGCAGGAGTGTGAGCGCCTGCTTGGAAGATTTTATTCACTCCAAGATGAGGATGCAACCTCATGTGCTGAAAGGAGGGGTGGAGGGCATTAACCCAGGAATTTCCTTGAAAAGACACACTATGGGTTCCACCTTCTCCAGCTTTGCCTTCGGTTATGTCACCAGCTGGTTGCTTTCGAGCTTCCAGCCTCGCACGCTGCGCTGGTCCCTGGGGCTCTGCCTGTGCACTATTTACCAGCACACCTACGCTGACTGTTCTGACTACATCTCCCTGGAGCAGGGCTAGCACCAGAGCAGCATGCAGAGGACAGGCGCGTTCCCCAGTACTAACCATTTTATGTGGGTCTCAAAATTAAATGTGAACAATGTTGGTGAAAATACTTTCAGCAACAAGAAAAACACGCTTTTTTCTAACATCACACCATATATGCTTGCTTTTCTTGCACTTAAATACCAAGGCTTACACCTAGACTTGAGAGTTTTGAACCTTGCACTTTGTAAATAGATGAGTATGCCATAAAACAGCACGCTGCTTGCTGAAACAGTGAACATTGCTGGCACACAGGGATTTGCCTAGATCTCGCTCTGAGAAATTTAACGTTTGTTTCAGTAGCAGAGAATTTACTCAAAACAGAGAGCAATCTAGTGATGGAGGTATTTCACCTGGCCTCTGGGGCTTGGTCCCAGATCTCCAGCTGGGGCTGGAGGACAAGGACCATGGAGGCAGGTGTCTCCTTGTCCCGGCCATGCCACTCCTGAACTGGTCTCGGAAGCGAGAACGCACGCTCGGCTACGTCAGGACCTTCTGCGCATCCCTCTGAAACAGCCAGTGCTGCTACAAGCAACAGCAAGACCAGACCCAGCAAAGTCATTCCTCTACCGACAAGGCTCTAAACATTACCTAATAGTTATTTTTTAGCATCTCTTTTATTACTGCATTTGTAAACTTGACCTTGAATTTCCTCTCTGAAATCAATAAATATCACTGACCTTCCTTGTATTTAGCAACACATATATGTATAGAAAAAAAGTATTTCCCTGACTCATCCTCTGGAGAAATTCCCACAGTACTGAACTTCTTGACGAGGGACTGATTTTTCATTTCTAAAAGCAGAAGTTTTTACTGCTTCGTGGTATTTCAGTACATTGGAAGAGGACTAAACCACCAATGAGCATTTCGGAAACTGGTTTATTTAGACATTTCATATTTTCCTTCACCGTGGTAGCTTTGGGACTGTCACGAGTAATCCAGCAGCATTTAAGAACTCTCTACACCTGCAAAGTTGTAATCCACTGACGTACAAGAAGAGATCACATCTTTAGAAGCCAACAAACTTCTAATGAATGATGACATGTAATTGACTCGTGGACTCCAAGTTTGTCTCTTGGCTGGATTAATCCTTCTGACAGTCTCTCACAATACCGCTAAGTAATGCTTAGAGTTAAGCGTAATTTCTCCTATTCAGGGTGCATTTGCATGCATACCTGTGATTTTTCACGGAGATGCAAGGAGCGCATCTACTTCTGCATCTCTTTAAAATGTCTGAAGCCTCCAACCCAAAACTCGCATCATCCAGGCATATCCAGAATGTCTATGTCACAAACTGTACTTACTGTAGTGTATTTTCCCAGCTGGCAGAGCGAGGGGAAGGTTTCCTGGTGAGCTTTTCGGATCTTCTCAGTGAGATCATCCAACTCTGCTGTCATTTCATAGTTTTCTGTGGACTCCTGCTTTGAAGGTTCCTTCTTCTTTTTGTTCCTATCATTTCTGACAGCTATAGAAAAAGCAGAGACACAGATCACAGGTGGTTACTCAGATCACCCCACGTTGCTTTTGCTGCTCCGCTTCAAAACACTGCGAAATGCTTTTATTTTAAACAAATTCTTTTAAGTGGAGATTAAAATGTTAGGTACACAGAGAATACTAACACAAGCTTAATTACTTAACTGTAAGAATTAAATTTAATGGGTAATGATGAAACCAAACTTCCATAGGTGCTTGCTGTGGACATGTCACCACACTCCCATAGTATCTACCTTCTGAGAAAGTTTACTGCAACTTCACACGCACTGTAAGGGTTGCGGTAACTTTGTGAGGTGGGATTTTTTCATTGTATCATTACAGCTGTGCATGGTGAATGGTGACGTCCTCTGCAGTGACACAGTCGGTATTTTAGTGGATGCGAACAACACCAAAAAAAAGGACAGCAACTGTGTCTCTTCTTAAATTTCTCAGTATGGAAGATAACAAACTCCTTACGAATACAAACTCCACCAAGGAAAAGTTATATAAAGAGAAAGCTAAATGTGAAAACAGTAAATGAAAGAAGATGAAACACATTAAACTCAAGATCTGAAGATCAAAGGAGAAGCACACACACTTGAAAGGGTAAAAATGGCAGTGAAGCTATCTAAAGTTGCTTGCCATATGCTCCTGCACTCAGTTCAGCCTTCTACCTTCCCCCGGCCATGGGGGATTACTGGAAATATGCATTGTGCGGCACTCGTGCTGTAATTGATTTCCCACATATTTGTGTTTTGTAAGAAAATATGACAGCTGCTCCATCACCGTGCTACTCTTTGTTCTTTTAATGAAAATGGCTTCATTTTACAAAACGTGCCCAGGAGATAAGTCTATGTCCGCAGTATTGCCAGTACTTGTGAATTTTATCAAGAGGCCTGTTGTTAGCTAAAGCTAAGACCTTAAGTGTAACCACATGCATAAAGCTTTACAACAAAGCCAAGCAAAATCAATCCCTCTCCCCAAAGACTCCATGTCAATATTAAACACCCTGAAGACTAAACATTATTGGGCAAATAAAACCAATCCTAACAATCACTCATGTTCAAAACCTCACGGTATTTAAAACAAGGCCCTAAACTCTGAGGGTGCGGCTGGTGGGTCTGGCACACGTGAGGACAACCGGGGATTTTGGATAGCCGCAGATCTGCCAATTCTTATTCGTACCGTACCACCCCTGAAAGAGCATCTATCTGTGCTGTAGGGAGGGAAGAACAGCAAAATGGGTGGACGCCCAGAGCCACCTCCATGCGAGCTCTTTTCCCCTGTGGGTTCCCCAGGCCCATCTCCACATCTTCTGTGGTTGTTTCATACACTCCTGTCAACCGCAAATGATCACAAAGAGCAGAAAAATGGTGAACGTTTCAGGAGGAAGAAGGGGTGTTGATCCAGTCTCACCTACAGTATCTGCTCAAGAACAAATGACACACAGTTGGATTAATTTTCCTCTGGGTGTCCTTTCTGAGCGAAAATTAAGAGTGACATGGGAAAATGGTGGGGTGGGAAAGCAGCAGAGTCAGAGGCATCTACAGAAATGACATAATACGTGTAACAAAAACCAAGGGGTAGATACAGTGAGTATCGTTGCTTCTTCACGATGCCATTAGGCGCATACTCTACCTGATGAACGGCTCTGGTCTTCCCACTAAAGGTTTGACTTTGCAACTGAGAGAACTCTGACTCTGATCCAGCAGATACTTTAAGGACAAACTTGATTTTAACTGTGTGAACAGACCCACGCTGAAGTCAGTTATGTGCTTTGCTGGATCACAGCTGGGACGCTGAGCACCCCACCAGATTAAAGCCTACCCTCGAACACCATCAGTTCTGGTGTCTGGAGTAACACAGACTCAAAGGAGGCCAGGAAGCGTGGACCTTCTTGTGAAGGTTCAATGCTACCAGTGTAGTCAGGTTTAGGGGGGGTGGGTTGTATCCCCCTGCTTCCTTTTACAAATATTCCCCTAAAGTCAATGCCCCGATTTGTTTGCTGGACCCCAGAGCAGAGCACATGCATGGTTTCTTGCACTGAAAAAACATCCAGGATCGAGACGTACATCTCGAGTGCTCCAAAGGGCCACTGCACTTCAGAAGTAAATCCTAATCACTGCTGTACTTGGGAGATAAAAGAGCTCCTTAGAAAATTATGTAAACTCCTACACAACCACAAAGAGCAATAAGCCTTTGTAATAAAGCCCCATTTACTTATAGCTCTACGAGGTGATTGACAAATTTGCCAAACAGGCGGCCTCAGCAACTACTTAACTGAATAGCTTTGAACTCCTTGTGGAAGACAAACACGTTATTTAGGCCAGGCTTAGGAGCAGCTGCCAAGAGGTCCCAGAGACCAGGAGACAAGGCCGGCAGGAACCATGCCACGCTGCCGTGGTACCCTGGCACAGGTCCCTCTGCAGCTGTACCTGAAGTCCCTTCCCCTCCAAAGACCACCACGGGGACGGCTGCCAGTCAATCCACATCACCAAATTCGCCCAGTTCTGTCCTCTTTCTTTTTGGGCGCAAATCACTAAAGGATAGGAAGAGGAGAATTATCACATCCTGAAAACTAAGAACAGTTTTTATTCATCGTTACCTTTTTTCTACAATTCTGATAGCCTTTATAATAATGATAAAACCTGAATAACATTTATCTTCTTGCTTTATGTATACATTTTATATTTCCTACATTTGTCTTCACTAAGACTGCATCAGGCACGGTGGTGTTTCTATATTCCCTGGAAGATAACACAATAAAATGCTGACATATAACACCCAGGCTCCAAAAATATAAAGAATTTCAATAACGTTGAACTATTACACAGATTCAACTACAACTATAATTCAACGCAAAAAAGAAGAGAGAAAAAGATTAAGACAACACTATGTTTAAAAGAGTTAAATAAAAACATATAAACACACACATTTACCCAGTAAATTTAAAAGCCATCACTGCTCTGGGAACAGGAACTGCCAGACCGCATGTGGGAAGGGTTTTGGATTACAGCTTATGCTTATATTACATAAATCACACCTTTTTGTATCTTGATCTTTACATGCATACGATCACATCAATCCCCGATGCAATTGCACTGCCTTTTAATGATGATACGCCAGTGATGAATCTGTGTCACGGTTAATGCCGCCATAGAAAACTCAGGTTATGAATTTCATTACTTCTGCACTCAATTCTGACTCGGTGGCTGTGTTATTTAGGAGCTCCCGACAGGGGACAGTATGGAAGCTCTCTGGCCCTGTGAGAAACACTGGAAGTTAAAAAAAAAACCTAAGAAAACAACTAAGGTAGCGCTGTGGGGAAAGAGAATGAAAAAAGGTGTGTATCTTGATACGTGAGGAAGCCATGTCTCGGCGCTGCTCGGACGGCTGAGCGACGCACGCCCACGCCCGAGCACGTCCGCTCCGATCCATCTTCCCGTGACAGCCTCCCTGTCCCCTCGACACACACGCCAGGACTCGCACTTCCACACCCAGAAACCTCCAGGCAGCCGTGGCAGGGTTCGTAAGCTGGCGAAGGCACTTTCTGTTGCCTTAGCTTTAAGGACCAGCCCCTGCCCTCAAAAATTCATCCCCCTAACCTGACGGGAGAGGGGCTGAGCACCATCTCTTGTCCCATCCAGTCTGTTCTCCTCACCCCAGGTTTGCCACTGTTTTCCTTAGCCTCAGATACATTTTCCCTCTTCTGCTGGAAGCGATGGGCAGGGCACAAAAGCTGTAGGAGAGGAGGATGCATTTTTCAAGAAAAGCAGGGCCTGCTGCAGACGAAACTAAGTATAGGAACGACGCAAACGGCTTCTCTCGGAGGACTCCGGAGCTCTCATTTAGCAACCACGCAGCAATTCTCCTGCTTGAGCAGGATCATTTCAAGCATGTCGTAATGCTGGGAATTGTCCAGTCTGAAACGCAAGCCCCTCAGGTCCACCAAACTTAGTCACCGCTTGGCCTAAGAAGAGTCTGGGATCCAGCCCAAGAGATTCAGGCAGTTTCTAGATAATCAGGTAAAATTACGGAATAGCCAGTGTTTGTACTCCCTGTTGTCAGAGTCGGTACAAACATGTCCAGGTGAGAAGAACCTGCAGCTTGCAACACATTTTTTCCAATTACTTGCATAACCCGTGCTGCCCCAGCTGCCCAGAAGACAGTTAGACAGCACCTTTCATCTATTATAATGATTCATCAGCTATAAATTCATGACTTGAAACACTATCATTGCAGTTTTGCCTCTCAGAGATCCCCATGACCTTTGAAGAGCTCTGTGTGCTAGTTAACTGGTTTTGTTCCTGTAGCAACAACTACTAGCGCTTCCAGTCAGTTCACATTCCTGTAAAACCACACTTCTCTTGTCCCTAAATATTTTGGAAGTTACTCGTTAGGCTAACAAATCTCAAAAGCACCATAAAGCACACAGAGCGAGTCAGTAATCGCCCAGCTCTGGGCACAAGGTAGGTTTTCAAAAAGACTCCTTTTGTTTGCGAATGTGGACGAGAAGAGAAATTGGAGGTGAGGCGAGGCAAGACCACCGCAGACCTGCCAACTCTGCCCTCCCGGCAAAGGTTCGCTCTCCCACGCCTCGGCATCCATCCACCCCTTGGCAGCCCGGGCTCAGTGCCGCACCCAGGGTGTCCAGGAGCACCGAGCTGCTTGCTAGGGTGGAAACCCGCAAGTCTTGCACAGTTCCTTTACATTCTGACTTCTCCAATTCCAGCTGCTACAAACTTCTGACTCTGGCAGAAGTTAGCAGCTGTAGACAATTTCAGTCAAATTTGAAAAACGCTTACCTATTACCACTGCCAAATTGGATCCATCAGGATAAATGCCCCACGCGTACCATGCGTCACCCTTCTCCCCATCGCCCTTCAATCAACTGTGCTCATGGTAACGTAAGGACGTGTTTCACAATCATCAACTTGGAAAAACCTCAAACCAAAGGAGACTTAGCACTCCCAACGGTGCTGCTGAACTCGG